TTCTGTAACTCTGTTTTTGTGAGCTTCTTGAAGTTTTTCCCTTGTCTCCATCTTGCAATCTTCTCCTTCGGGGTCTCCCTAAGAGTATATAGTGTCGGCTACTTGGATGCCAAAAAGGTGGTGGTCATCTTAAGTTGTTGCCTCAAGTCCCTCTCTCCAAGTGCCTCTGATCTTCCATTAATTTGGCTAGCTTCATAGCCTCTCTCAAATTATGATGCCTCATCACTTTAACTACTGCCCAAATTTTTGGTTTGAGCCCTTACATAAAGTTCCCCTTCAGAATAGTATCCGGAAGTTGGTCCAGTCTGCTGTTTAGGTGCTCAAACTGCTCATGATATTCCACCACTATCCCCTCCAGCGTTATGGCGAATAACTGCTCATAGAAGGCCCCTCCATTGCTAGTTCAGAAACGTTCCAACAAGCAGTATTTAAACTCCTAGGTTCATATGGGTCACCTCGTATCATTCCACTGGTACCATGCCAATAATTTTCCCTCCAAGCACATCCCGACTGCCATCAGTCTCTTCTCCTCCATCAACCTATTGACAGTAAAGTACATTTCCACCTTGTAGATCTATCCATGGGCATCATCTCACTAAAAAATAGACATCTTTTGTTTCCTCACCCTCGGATCTCTTTTGTTCCCCTTGTTTCCTCCATAATTTCTCATTCCCCAAGGGGTGGTTCCATCAAAGTTTCTCAATCATCCCTTCTATGCTCGTACCCAAATATTTCATCAAATTCCCACATTCTCTTTTCAAATTTAGAACCCTTTGGATCATAATTAGTCATTCTCCTTTCAAATTCAACCACTCATTTTTCAAATTCAGCACCCCTTCGATTAGCTCCCCTCCTTTCAAATTCAGCAATCCTTCGGTCATAATTAGCCCTTCCCCTTTCAAATTCCATACCTCTCCTCTCAAATTCAGCACCCCTTGATTCATACCCAACCTCCTCAGGCCTCTCCCCATACCCTCTATCCAGCTCCTCCCTATGAATAGGCTATAGGGGAGGCATTCTCTATTCTCCCTCCAGAATCTCCACTTCATGATCTTCCCTTCGCCTTATCGGATTAAGAATTTCCCCTCTGCATTGGTTGCCGGAGGCTTCCCTCACCTTCGACGATGTCACTTTGGGCTGGCCCTGGAGCAACTTTTTCAATATCTCCTCCTTAATGGAAAATTTTCCATCCATCTTCTTGTGAATGGCTGGAATTTGACTTTTGAGATCTAAATATTGAGTTTGGATATTTGAAATTTCATATTTTAATTGTCTGATCTCCCCTTCCAGCACTTCTATCTTTCTTCCTACCATAGGTACCCGGAGTTGGGCTCCAATTGTAAAAAAAAACAGCAACTTTGATGTGAATATGACCTCCAAACAGCAGAAAACAACAAGATCGGAGAGAAAATGTAACAAAAATTAGCGAGGAAGATTTTTATTTCAGCCCAGTAAATCACTCTGTTACCAATTTGATAGAAAGTGCTTGTAGAAATTTAGGAAAAGCTTTGGCCAAAATTTGATTTCAACAATTTCAGAAAACCAGGAATGGAACACACAAGAATATTTTTTTATTGAATGTTTTATGAAAGAAAGACAAGATACAAGTGAATCTTCAGTTGGAGTGGATGATCCGTCTCTCTTAAATCTCTTGCCGCAGGCTAGAGCCCAAACACCATAAGAAAAATTTAAACAAATACAACACATAACCCTAACCTAGGAAAATTACCTACTTAAAGCAAGCAATAAACAACAAATATCCAAACAGCCCTCCTACAATTCCCTCATAAATCTATCATACTTCCTTAATTATTTTCCTCCCAATTCAGCCCCCTTGTCCTGCTGCTCTCGCTCTACCGGTAGATGTAATTGCCGGTCCCATAAGGACCGGCTGAACCGGTCTAATAGTTTGCATCATGAGCTTTTCGATAGATACCACTAAGGGAGGCTCAAATCACCTTAGCTGTAGTTAGGAGCAAATAAGTGTCACTAATTGAGGGTTCAATGGTTCATTGATTCCCATAGCCGCCATGAGATGATCAAAAAGTCAATTTCATCCCATACTGGAAACATTAAATCTCATATTTTTGGTCCTATCCCAATTCCCAAGAAGATAGTCCAATCTTTCATTACCTTTTAAATATGTCCTAGCAAATTGTGACCATTTGAGATAGTTATTCTCCTTCAACTGATACATAGGTATGACATTTTGCGTATCTCTAGTTGATTGATGTTAGTTGACTTTATCAGATTGGATGGTTTCTAATGTTACCATGGTAATGGATCAACAATAGGTTGTGGCTTAAGTTGCAATAGAAGGGATGGTTTTCCGGAGCAATGGAGTTTTATTTTATGGTGAACCTCAATATTTCAGCTCCCGGAAGGTAGGCTGAGGTGCGGTTGGAGCATGACGAATAAGAAGAATTGCAGCTTACAACAATAAAAATTATTTCTGATAATCAGAGAACTATAAAATAACAAGTTGTTACAATGAAGGTTGTACTAACTAGAGTATGGTAAAGACATGCCAAGAAAGACGCACAACATTGATGAATGTTAGTAACCCCAAGAAAAATATATTTAAGGTTTTAATAACATGTTGAGAAAAGATCTAAAGAAAACAGGAATTTATACATATAGACTATTCTAGAAGAAGAAAAGAAAAATAGCTTATTCTTACGAAAATGTATACTGCATTTACAACGATACTTTCTTGGCCGAGTTATGTTTAATTGCTTTCCTAATATGTAGATTCAGATTTAAATTTGAATTCAATTCCCTGGAATGTCCATATGGTGGTTGCCTACTCACTTGGATTTCCTTTTCATCTGTCGCCACCTGACAGTTATGCTGATGCACCCTGGTACCAAAAGTAGGAATGATAGTATTTTCTATAAAATAATTAATATTAAGGGGATTAATTACACTTTTTTTTGATGCAGGACTTCGTAGATGAAATGATTATGAGTTCATTTGGATATTGCACAACTCGTGGTTAGAATAATACTAGAACAAGATTACTAGCAATTTAAAGCGATGAATCCAAAACAAGTAGTAGGGCTAAATCACATGGTGAGAGCTTTGAAAATTTCAAGATAAATAAGAAAACAATACAATGTAAAGTAGTAGACTTCAAGATAATCCCTAGTCTAATAACGAGAGTTAGATAGCATATAGGTGCGCTCAAATCCTACGTTTACTAAGCTTAAGCCAGAGCAATATGGAGGAGCCCGTCGTGACTGCAATCAAGTCAGGAGAATTTAGACTAAAAGATAAAATATGTTAGGGAGAAGGGGAACCTTCATCAAAGGTTAGTGGAGATCCTCCACTCAATGCTTTCGAAGTGTTCGTCAATGGCTTCCACCAAAGTATCTAAGATCAGCTCCAAGTAATCTTCCACGGTGTGATCAATCCTCGGATTCACGTCGAAGAAAGTGGATCGTAGGATGTCGGTGAAGCCGTCTTCGTCCCAAGTTATTCCATACCCAGTCTCTGGATCCACCATTCATGGAGGTTTGAAGGTAGAATCTCCTTAGCCCTTGATATGCCTTGCGAATGGTGTCAAGAGAAAGAAATTTCTCATGCAAGTGGAGAAAAGAAAATACACTCCAAGGCTCTTGACCAAAGTCTGAAGATAGCTTCAGATTTTGATCCCAAAATCTGAGAAAATTTCAGTTTTTTCTTGAAGAGGAGGGTGGGAATTGGAGGCAGGAAACTAAGTTGATAATTCCTCTTGAAGCAGTTATGAGGGAGAGAGATTTGGAGAGATAGGGAGAAGGGGCGGCTGGATGATAGGGTGGGTTGAGGAATTTCTATTTTCCAAATCAGTGACTTGATTTGGGAAATATAATTGGAAGTAAGGCTCAGGAAAATTCGGCTAGAGAGTTAGGAGTTTGGAAGTATTTCCAAATGTGGGACTAGGAAATAGGAAAGAAATTTCCAATCCCAAATTCAAGGGAGAGGGGGGCCGGCGGTATGGGTGTTCATGGGAGCAATTAATGAGAGGATTTAAGGCTTCTAAATTTGATTTTAGGAATTAGGAAAGTAATGAAATAAATCCAATTTGAATTTGAAATTCAAATAGATTTAAATTAGAAACTTTCCTAAAATAGAATCACTAATTTAGGAAAGAATTTGAAATTTGAACTTGAATAATTTCAAATTCAAATCAATCCCTAAATTAGCCCAACCAAAATAGGAAATCACAAAGAGGGTGGGAAGAGGGGTTTGGCTGGCGGCTAAGGAGGTGGAACCGGTGGCATGAGTTCGGGTATGGGGGATTAGCCGTGGGATTGAGGGAGGAGGAGGGGGTCGGGTAAGGTAGCCGGCGGTTAGTGGGGGAGAAGGTGGGAGTATGGTCGGCAATGGGGAAGAGGAAGAGGAAAGGTTAGGGAACAAAGACCACGAACCCGACCGTCTCCTAGGTTGGTGGGTAGTGCACAAATCTCCCTCTCCTTGGGATCTCTCTCCATTAGAACTCACAAGTTCTCACACAACTCATGCAAGAGGAAAATTTCTAATCAATCATTCATTAACTTCAAAAGAAAATAAGGAGGGCTATATAAATCCTCATACAAAGGACTCAAAACAAAAGACACAAATGCCTCTTGGGCTTACATACGACATCCCTTCATAAGAGGGTACAACGGGAAAAACAAAATAACATCTAAGCTAATAAGAAAATACATGAATAATAAAATGACATAAATGACTCAGAAATATAAAGACTCGATTGTGGCCGTAGATCGGCAGCCACGTCTCTGATAAACCTTCCATGATCTGATGTCCCCATCATTCTCCCGGGGTGGGAGAAAACTCGACTCCGTCGAGTAAGTATATCTGGCGCTCTCGTAGATCTCTAGTGCATCCGGGTCAATGCTGATTATATTATTGGAACCTTTTCTGTTCTAATCAGACTTTTTCTTATATTTTGGCTTGGAGTATGTTAATAGTAGCTATATTTGCCAATTTATATTGCCTGATTTACAATTTTTTTGCAGATAACAACCTTTAATATCTCATTGGTTGTTCATGGAACAATTGCAGAAAACATGGATTATCTTATGGTAATTCTAATTTTCATGTTTGTTACAATTACTAGAATAGTAGAATGTTAAGATTTTTTTTTTGGGAGAAAGAACTTCAGAATTTTCTCTTGATTTATTGTTTTCTCAAGCAGGAGAAATCCAATCCTTATGCTGTTCCCTTGAGTATGGGCATTCTTCAAACAATCAAAAGTCCTTTGGATATCACAACAAGCACAATCATTAAGAGGATTGTTGCCAATCATGAAGCCTATCAGGTTATTTTTGCTACTAAAACTTGCCTCAAATAATCATCATGCATATCTCAGATAATTTGTTGAACTTATAGATATTAACATGTGCTTTAAATTATTTTTCGCCATGCTTTTGTTTTCTATGGAATGCGTCATAAAGTCGACCTGTCAGAGGACATTCTCCTTAGGATGTTTCTTAGGTGTGGGTTGAAAATATTGCAACCACCTATGATCAGGAGCACTAAAAAAATGACGGAACCCACACAGGTTAGCAGGCCGGTGATCAGGCGACTAGGGCTACTCTTGCTGCTTTAAATAATAAGAGATGATCTGGGAGCCTTGTTACTTTCAAGAAGACATTTTTGATAAGAAAGTTTTTATCTTTATTCATTTATATTAAAATTTGTTTCCACAAATCTCTTTTATTAACTGTTACTAATAGTTATAGCGAATTCCCATACAAATGCAATGTGAGTATATAACATAAATAATCCATAAGTAAAGATTAAAATAAAACAAATTAAACTTGAATAAAATTACTTAAACAATTGAATATAAAATAGTAATGTGTATATAATTTAAGAGTTTATATATTTATAATATATGTGTGATTTTGTCCCATTTCATTTTCTATTTTATTACAGAATTAAAGTCGATGATTAAATTATATTTACCATTTAAGTAACTTTATTGCTTAATGAATCCTTTTTATGATAGAAAAATACTATGCTTGCTAAGCAAAAAAAATGTAAGCAAGTTAAGTTATCTAATACATTAATTGATTATAATTAGAAAGCATGTACTCTTATGATAATTGCATTATTTAGAATTATATACATCTAGTGTATTCTATTACAGTCATTTACATATTAATTAAAGTATAGTTAAATTTTTTAAGATAAATGAGACTAGATATGATCATAAAATTAAGTTTGTTTATTTTGCTTTATTTAGTTTAATTATAATTGGTAAATTATTCTATTTTCCTAACTCTATTATATATTTAGTTTATGTGCAACACTTATAATCACTTTATTTATAGAGAGAATAAAGATAAAAGCTTTCTTATATTGGTTGTTGGGTTGGAAGAATTGTTAGCGTGTTGGATTCCTTTTTCCTGCATTTCATTTTTTAGGTGTTTGGTTTGAAGATAAAGAAACGCAACATAAAATTTTGAGAGATTTCAGTTCATTTTTGAGAAATTTGCAACTTTTGGCTGAATTGGTTGAATCCCAAATTTCTTCTTTGTGAAATACTTCTCTTCGTGTTTGCTCATCCTTGTGACAATGCTTGCCTCTGAGAGCTCCTGTCAATCCTTGCCCTCATAAGCTCCAATCAACCCTTTGTCCTTGTGAGCTACCATGATCCTTCCCTCCCTCCACGAGCATTTATTGATGCTTGCACCCGTGATCTTGTGTCAATCCTTGGCTCCCTGCCCTCAAGAGCTCCTATTGATCCATGCCCACATAAGCTCATGTTGGTGCATGCTCCCATCATTGTCCAACCCCAAGAGCTCATGTCAATCCTTGCTCTCATCAGCTCCCATTGATCCCCACCACCATGAGCTTCCATCGATGCCTTTACCTGTGAGCTCCAATTGTGAGCATCGTAGGGTGCCCTAAGTTTTTTTTGTAAGATTTATTTTTATTAGTTATAGCCAAGACAATAATTTCAAATACTTGTATTCCGAGTACACTATATTACATTGCATTTAAAAATCTTCTCTATTTTAAATACTTACAATGAAATAGCCTATAAATAAGTCCTTATTTAAAGCTGGAAGGCTTCCAATTTTTTATTTGATGACATCATTTTTATGCATGTCAATGGCGCAAAATGGTGCATGGCATGGCTCAACGCACGTATGATGCTATTTACTTGACACGACGTAGATGTTCAAAATAGTGCGCACTATTTGCGCAATGCATGAGCAATAGTGCATGGCACAAATAGCATGCACAATTTTATTAACATGTTATAAATTTTAAATTTTAAATTATAATTATAATTTTTTAAGTTTTATATATTATAACATAATTAATTATTAATTAACTAAACAACAAATTAATAAAATATTAAAAATCAAGGTTGTGAAAATCGGTTTGGACATGGAATCGGAAGAATGAGAAGTTTAATGTTCAATGGTTCAACCGGAGTTAAACCAGATGATGTAATAAATATTAAAATTATTTAAAAAAGCTCTAAATGATATAATAATGATGTAATATATGCTCATATAATTTTATAATAAAAATAAGCAGAGTTCATGCACAATATTTTTCCTAATTTTAAATTTAACTATCTTAAATTTTAAATTTGATTTTTAATCTAAATTTAGTTTACATACACACACACACATATATATATCATTCATGCTTATAATTAAATATATAAAAAAATTAAATAAATAAAATAAATTTTATTCATATTATAAAATTGTTTAAAAAAATCGTGTATTTGTAGTGAACATGAAAACTTCAACATAGCTATTTATTCCTACATTATTTGGGAAGTTTTACTTTTTATTGTTTGTATAGCTTTTTGGTTTTGCATATATTAGGAACTTATATGGAGTGGTAGGACAATGTGAGAATGCTTCAGTGGTTTTTTTTGATAAATCATAATTATATGTATTTAATACTCATTTAAAAGTTATAATAGATTAAATCTATATCAATTTATTAAGTTTAATATTATATTTTTTGCTAAATTTAATTATTTAAATTTAAAAACACTTGAATCGGTCGATTTTTAAAAACCAGCAGTTTCTGTCTGTTCAGTTTGGTTTGATGCAAAGCCGATTTTTAAGATGGATCAGAACGGCCATTTGATAGGTTCATGGTTGAACTGATCGGGCCAATTCGATTTCTAAAACAATGCCAAAAAAATTAATTTTATCTCAATAGGATTTGGAGTTTACTTTTCTTATCTCCATTTCTTTGTTGGCGGTTCGGCTTGCGTCACTTGAAGTAGAGTTTTGAAAGAGTTACTCTAGGAAGCCTTTTTTCCTTCTTTGATGACGACAGAATAAGTCACACAGGGAGCTCGCAATGAAGGTAACAATCACTTTTCCGTTTCACGCGCTTTGCCTCAAGTAGAGTTTTGAAAGAGTCGCTCAATGAAATTGGCAACAGTTTTCTTGTCAAATGAGAAGTTAGAGGGGGCTCGCAACGAAAATAACAATCATTCCTTTCACGCGCTTCTTAGGCTAAATTGCATTAATATAAAATAGAGAAAGAACGAGATTTAACTTTCTATAGGATTTAAGTGATTTTTGCTGTTTGGTAGGATTTAAAATAAATTACGTTTAAATGCTGCTCAAATCTATCGATGTAAGTTTTTATAGGATTTAAAGTTATTTTTTTGTTTGGCAAGATATTTATATTTAAATCTTACTCAAATCAATCTATTATTTGGTTGATGGTATTTTATATTAATATATTTTTTATTTAAAATTATTTTATATTGTGCATGATGTTTAAAATGGCGCACGCAGTGCCGTGTTATGTTTCATGGCTCTGCGGGAAACTTTGTGCCATGGTGCGTCATTTGTCGTTGACAAGATGATTTCTTGTTTTGCTTTTTAAAGCAGCAAGAGTCGCCGTAGCCACCTGCTGATTGTGCGACTATCGTATATTTTGCCCAATTAGGTAACTTATTCTTTTATTTTTGTTTTAAGTTTTTCGTTCTCATGAAAGGTGGTGGCCATTATGTTCCTTTCTAAAATTTGTCCGGTCATGTCAGGATCTGCTGCTTGTTTATAAAGAAGTAATTTCTCTTGGAAGTAGAATGCATTGTTGATTAAATCAATATGAGCAGGATAAAATTCTTGCCCTAAGTTGACCATGGCATCATAGCAAAAGGAATTCACTTCCACCTGTAATTTTTGGAGCGTGAATGAAGCCTTTGTTAATCACCTATTTTACCAATCCAACATATATTGCTTGAAAATATGTTATTAAGCTGGTCACAGGTGAATGTTCTTCTTTAGTTCTAAAGAGCTCGCATTGTTGGTGTTGAATATCAGTGTGGTATACTCCACTCCGTTTCTTATTAAATGATGTTGAAGCAAGAAATCTTGTTTGTCTTTCTCAAGCTCTGGTTTTGAAAACTGTTATTTCACCAATTCTTTTATATATTTTGTACAATTTTCCAATGTAATTTAGCTGCTAACTTTTTGTATTTTGACCACTGAATTTTTTTTAAATTTTTTTTTTCTTCAGAAACGAAATGAAAAGAAGGAACAAAGTGAGAGGAAATACTACGAGAATAAGACTAACGTATCTGAAGAATGACTAATGAACTTGATTGCAAGTGTTAAGCTGTTTGAAGGAAACCAGCTCGTTACAGAAAAAATGTTGGCTCTCCCTATTCGTTAACACCCAAAAGCTTCAAATGCAAATACTGATCGTAAAGTAAAAGCTCAAATTATCACTCTAGCTAATCTGTGATTACAGTTATGGTTTAATTAGATTATTGAATAAATACGAGTTCTTTTGACTTTGCTTCCTAAATATGGCTGCTAACTATTGCGAGGTTCATCTCGATGGAAGCTTGAGTCCCTTATCTTGATGTCCTTCACTAATGAGAAGATTTTGTGCAATATTTATTATAATTAATGAGCAGATTGAGCGTATCTATTATAGTTCTATCATATGAACCCTATCATAATAGAGATTATTTTGTGCGCCAGCCGAACGCAATTTATCATCTGAAGATCAACCAGAATGCGTCATATCAGCGATACCGAGCAGTACCGAGCCGGGTACCAAGCAGGAGGTGACATGGCACATTCTGATTGGTCTTCAGATGACGTTCAGCATCTTCACAGAATAATTTCACCTATCATAGTGTATGCATTGAAGCCTACTGCTAGCTGTCAGGAGATGCAATAATGGATGTGTTTTTCTTTCAAAGCTGCCTTTCTTTATGAGGTCCACCTGATCCTGAAGTTTGTGAAGAACAGTAACGTGCCAACTAACTGCGAGGCGCGAAGATATTAATGAGAATTTGATCACTTAAATTGCTGGGTTTGTTGTGGTGGGTGGCCAACGCGAATCAGATGATCTGGATCGTTAAATTTTCAAAAGAACATTCTTATGGTTGTGATGTCAATCACATATAAGAATATTTTTTCAATATTGATAGAAAGCAGCTTGAGAAAGACGATTTCTGAACACTTAATGTATTGGACATTGATGTTTGGATGCTCATCTTATAGTTGGGAAGTAATTCTGAATTTTGTAATTTAGTTGGTAATACTTTAATTTTTAATCAAGTTATTTATAACGTGCTTGCAAATTAATTAGTCATCATTGATAAGTTTTTTTTTTTCTTAAGAACTTAGCTAATTAAAGTAAATTTTTACACGCATCATGTATTAATGTTTTGTCAACTTTTGTGTGAAAATAAAATGTTTAAAATTAGATAACAAATGCTCAATATTGGAATATGTTTAGATAGAGATAGAAAATAAAATTAGTTTATTTTTTATTGATAAAATTTTTTATATCTATTAACTTCGATCATTTGTCTTATCATGTTGATATATATTATATTATATTAATATATACTGTTTTTTTTTTCTTAAGAAAAATTGGTGAATAGCTAAAAGATGATAGTCGGATGGATAGGGTTTATACATAGCACTTTATCTTTGTGCTGTAGAACATAGAGAAATTATTCTGTGTTGACGTCGAATGCAGTTTTACATATGGAGATCAATTAGAATGAGCTATATCATCAATACCGAGTGGTATTGAGCAATATCAAGCCTCAGTATTGACGTGACTCATTCTGAATGATTTTCGGACATTGTTTGGTATCAGCACAAAATAATTTCTCGAGCATGAAGCATGATTAAATGATTTGTCAACCCTATATGCCCACGGATAACGAGATCACTGCCATGTTGACTTAGATTTTTGTGCCTTACGTGTTATAGAAGTGGAGTGTGTACAAAGAGATTTTAATCGTCACAGCTTCAAACAACATCTCACAAATAATTATAGAAATAAAGGAAAATTAACAGTAGACGTGATTTTTTATTTGAAATGGGAACAAGATATCACAAGAACAAGAAGACTGTTCTGTCAACTAAAGATGGAAAATCAATCCTTTCATGATGGTCTTAATGACATGAATTGAAGGCTTACGATGCGATGGTGATGAAAGGTTATTGAGGTAAATGATTGCAGTTAGGCCAAATTTTCGAGTGGACGTAGAGATTTCATGATTATAAAACATTAATAAGGCGTTATAGGGAAGCCGGGGTGTACATAGAAGATAATTGGATCAAGCATCACAACCTAAAAGTGACAATAGAGTGTCATTAAGATTGAGAGATTATTACGTGTGGTCATCAGACGGTTAGGAGGCGAATCAGAAAGCACCACTTCACCCGGTACACAACTGTACATATGGGTGTCAATATTTGACATGACACGAAACCCGACCCGTTTGAAAAACGGGCCAAGTTCGGGTTTCCGGATTCAATCCGTTTGAAAAATGGGTCGGGTTCGGATTGACCTGACGAGTTGCTGGGTCAACCCGGAAACCCGTTTACAATGAGCTGCTCTGCTCGCCCGTGTCCGCGAGCCCGAGTCCCTTCACCCACCTGCGTGCCCGCGTCCCCGCGCCTGCTTGCGTAAATTTCGCAAGCTAATCTAAGTATCTAACTGAGTACATCTAATTTCCATTTCGAAGCAGCGAAAAATTAATAATCAAAAGTGGTCCCAAAAGAAGTCTTATTCATAAGAGTACGGGTGTAAGTGAGTCAAGCCGACTCACACAACTCAGCTTGGTCTGTTGGTTGAGAGTAGGGGTGTCAATATTTGACACGACTCGAAAACCCGACCCGAACCCGACACAAAAATTTTGGGTTAGGGTCAAATTCGAACCCGAAACGGGTCGGGTTCGGGTTAACCCTTTGACCCGAAATTGACCCGAAAACCCGATTTTGACCCGGCAACCCGAGATTGACCCGAAAAGAGGAGATTGATCTGCTTTTACCCAAAAATTAGCCATTTTCTTGTTGAAAATGGGTCATTCGGGTCGTGTCGTGTTGACCCGGACCCGAAGCGGGTCGGGTTCGGGTCAGGAAAACTAACACGTTTTTAAAAACGGGTTGGATTCGGGTTGACCCGAATAGTGCCGGGTCAGTTTCGGGTTCGAACCGAACCCGACCCATGACCCGAAATTGACACCCCTTATAGGTAGTTGGAATAGTCATATTTTTGAAGTGGAGATGACATTACTTAGAGGTAGCAATGGGCCATGTAAGAAGATCATGGAGGATACTAAAAACAATTAGATTGATCATGAACTAGAGGTGGTTAATGAAAATTGAAGTATTGATTAAGATGACAATAAAGGGTAGTTGGAATGACTCCTCTCTTTGAAGAAGTGGAGATTGAATTACCAAGAGTTGGCGCATAATGAAGTTGGTTGAGTTAGTCCCTCCACTTGAAGAATAGGAGATTGAATGGAGCTTTTATTATGTACGGACACCGGACGGTTCTCCCGTCCGGTTAAGCACTGGCCGGGTACCCAGCGGTACCTAAGGGTATCGAGTGCGGGTACCAAGTTGGGCATCAAGCAATTGAGTGACGTGACACATTTTTATTGGTCTCCGAATGCCCTCCGCACTCCGCACAGAATAATAAATCGATTGAATGACCTAGAGTCAACATGCATGAAGTTGGTTGAGCATAGTATTCTAATTAGTAGGAAAGTGGAGATCCCAAACTAATTGTTTCCATTCATCTTTGTTGAACGAGTAGGACTTTGAAAACTTCGATGCTCTCACGTTCTCTCCAACCATCACTGCGAAACAAATATATTTCTCTTGTGTGTATTATAAACTTGAAGGGGAGATCCCAAACTAATTTTTTGTGCAAATTAAATAATAATACTCCTTAGAACTTTGGATGCTAATCAATTATTAATAAAGTGATAATACATCAATGGTTAGTCGTAATTATCTCTAATTTGTGGTTATTGTCGTATGAAGTAGAAAGAAACTGATCAATCTCAGTTTGAGATGACAATAACATTTTTATAAAGATGATTATGAACTTTCGGTGAAAAAAATAATTTCATTATTCTAGTTATTAAAAAAATAATAGTCAAATGAAATTATTATTGTCTACAAATCGAAACAACATGAAAGTTATCTCAAACTTCGATGCGATCAATGGAAGTAAAAAATTTGATGGTTGGGGTCTGTTTGGGACAACTACAACATTTTTAAAAATTGAATGTGAAATTGTTGCGGGAAAAACAACTTAGCTACTCTGGTTGCAAAAAAAGAACTCTTCGCCGCAAAAAATAACCCTTCGCCACAAAAAAATTCTAAAAAATAGTGAGAAAAAAAAGTAGCCAAATAAAATTATAATTACCGGCTGAAAAGCAAAAACAAAGCAATGAAAAAATTATCTTAAATAGACCCTAAGAGAGAGAGAGAGAGAGAGAGAGAGTACTTTTGTAGCATTTTTTGTGACAGGAAAACTGGTTTGCGATTAAGTAAATAATCATGAAAAAAATGTGTAAGGATTCCTGATTTCATCGAGGTAGGTTTAAAATTCATAAAATTTAAAATGAGATTTGTGTCACATGTGAAAATTTTGTACTGCACCAATCTCATAACAAAAGTAATAAATTTTACTCATCATGATACAATTTGTATTAGGAAATCGTCACACAATTTTTTAATCAATAAATTAAATATAAGCATGTTGCTTACACATTGCCTTTTAGAAATCTTTAACATAAAAACTATGTGGGAGTTGAAGCCCCCTAACTGCTCAGTTATGAATTGAGCGACTTCTTATTTTTCAAACCCTCATTGTTTGGGAAGGCTTTCTTACTGCTTCTTAAATCAACATTCTAGTATAAAAATTAAAATTTTTGTATTAAAAAGTTACTTTAAGAAGCAGTAAGAAAGTCATACCGAATGAAGCCTAAGACTGTGCATCAACAACTTAGGCTTTGTCTGAGATAGCTTCCTTATTGTTTTCTCAAGTAATTTTTAGTATATTTTTTTTTAAAATTATCACAAAATAAAACCTTTATTTAATTGAGCTTATTGGCTACGTGGATTGATTTTCACATTTTTTCACGATGAATATTTGTAAATCGTTAAAATAAATTTGATTTGCATAAATTTTAATCATGATATAATGAAGTAAATTCTTTATATTGAGAAGATGTCTAATTGTATTTTGTTATATAAATTAATTCCTTTTTTCTAAAAAATAAATAGGAGAAAAATAAAATGAAAATAAGTTGTTATCACTATATCATCATCACAAAAGATAGATTGATGTAATGTTGTGAAATGGATGATGTATATTATGCTATGCATAATTAAAGCTTTATGCTTAGTTATATTAAGCAACTTAATAGTTGAGAGTGAATCAAATGATACTAAAGTTTAGCGCTCTCTCTCTCTATATAATTTAAAAACTTAAGCCTATTGAAGAGGGTAAATTAATTAATATTTTTGACCAAATAAAAATTTCAAGTATTCATTATTGAAGAAACTCAATAATCTAATAAGTCCTAATAAACTCTTCCCACAAAAGAACTCTAAGATATCATTTGAGACAGCTTTTGACCATTATTTGTTCGTCACTTTCAAAAAATCTTT